GATGTATTTTAAGAAAATATTTTCTTAGACAAAAAAAAAGTTATTTTGCTAATAAGAGTAATATTCTAAATTCGAGAATACATTTTTTATGGCAACATTTTGCTTTGTCATTTTCAATCATGTCGTGACATGTTGAAAACGCGCGCGCTCCGTCTCCGTGGCCGTGGTATCTGCGATTGAAGAAGCCATCCATAAATCAATAGCCAATTATTTAAAATGTGAAGCAAAGTGAACTATACTTACTTAGTTTTACTTGAAATCTTAAAAAGGTAAGGCAAGGAGAATAAAATCTTAAAAAGGAACTGATTTTTCTATTTGTTGTTTGTGGAAACAGTAATGGATTCGTTGAAAGAACTTTTGGAATCGTGGAATATACCACAAGTTGTAGTGACCAATTTTATTGGTGAGTGATTTGATGTTATTATGAATTAATTGTGTAAGTATTACATTTTTATGCGCATGATGATATTTTGTACGTAACGTTGAATGTAAGCGTAAAATGGAGGGATCTTAGACGAACTTTTCCTAGAAATAGGTATACAGTATACTTAAACATGGGATTATTTAATTTATGAGTTTTTATGTAAATAATCTCTGTTTAGAATCCCGATTTAATGTCGTCATTGTTTATTAAAAATAATGTATCTACCTTTGAAATGCGTGACTTCGACAATTAGCATTTTACAATAGAAACTAACTTTTAACTGCCTCTGTGGCGGTTACCTTGCCGGACTGCCACGCAGAGGTCCCAGGTTCGATTCCTGGGCCGGGAGAAATATTTATACGGCCTAGTTTGGGTGCAGTTTGTGGTTGTCTATGTGTGTGTTCATGGCACCCGCGACACAGGGTTTCCCTAGTGCGGGGTATATTCAGTGTATGTGTTATTGAGTGTGTGTGTTATTAAACTAGAAGTAAAATACATAAAAAGATATTTGATTTAATTTGACTTTATTTACAAACTTGACTACTTTTGCAGAGAATGGTATAACGATTGAACATTTCCCCAAATTAAAACTAGACAATTTGAAAGAATTATGCCCACATATGGGGACTAGACTATCTTTAGAGGAAAAGATAGGGGAGCTTATTACTGCACAGGTGAGGGACCTGTATGTTTAAGTTAAAAAATTTAGTTGAAAGTGCTTTCATACTGACTATCTTAACATAGCTTGACTATAAAATACACAAAATAGTCTATTTTTTTAACTTTACAGGCAACGACAGATGCAGTATCTGAATCAACTGATGATCAAGTCATTATTACTCCCACCTCCAGTAAATTTGAGACAAGCACCAGTGATGCCGGTTTATTAGTTTCATTAGATGAACTACAAGTGGTCGACGTCTTGGAAACAACCAAAAGTGTATCTAGAAAAACATTTCCACATTTTGATTTGGAGACACTACTGCATACGTCAGCAGGTGGCAATAGTATTTTAAAATACTATGAAACATATGGTTTTCTCAATAATACCAAGAGAAACCAGTTGACCGATATAATTATAAAACATATATACACATACATTGTCAATTAGTAAGTATATACTGTATATATTAGTAAGTATATACTGTGTTCTGATTACTTTTACACTTCCCAATAATACATCACTCAAATTTTTTTAGCCGGATAACCTATGAAGAATATAATATTATATCTGCGAAAATAATATCACTGTTTCCAAAGGAGTCAATAGGCACTTATTTTACCAAACCTATAAAAAAAAATAATTCATTTAATGGACGTTCTACAGTAGCACGAGGAAAATTGGTAGACAAAGTCCGTAACCTTCTGTATAAATATGGAGACCACACACACAAGCGACAATCTGGCACTCTAGAAAATGCTCCACCGTTTAAAAGACAGTATATTCAAGGTTTGCAAGGTAATTTTTTTTTTAAATGGGCTTGCAATTAAACCCACTGACTTTCACTGGGTTAAAGCAATTTATGAACCTATTTAGGTATTTGAGAGTAGGTATTCTAAGTCGCATCATTCTGGGTATTTAATACAGGTAAATGTAACTCTAAATCCTCTGTAAGTGGGCCCCATTTACAGTGGTCCAAAAATTTTTCTACATATAGGAGTAACAACCCATTTAAAATAAACATTAGTTTACCAAAAATCAATAGCTTAAGTTATGATTTTTTTATGTACTTTCTTGAAAATTTTCTACTCTAGTCAAAAGTTTAAAACTAGTCTATTTTGAAAATTATTCCACTAAATTAATTGAAATTTGGTATTAAAGTAGTAGTAACCATGTAGCTAGCATGCAATGAACCATTTTTGTGTTTGTTCTTAGATTGCTCCGTTATTTTTTAGTCAATTCATGTTCATGAGTTTCTACAATTTTAACTCTCTAATGGTCATAATGTACACAAAAAGAAAATGTTTAAAAACATATGTATAGAGAACTTCTGATAAATAGATAGGTTTGAGAATAATTTCATGTAAATCTGAGCTGAACCAATGTTTTCTTTTGAGAAATTAAGTTAAAATTGTTTGAATAACGATTATGATACTGGTGGTGGTTTTAATGACTAGAGTAGAAAATATTGAAAAGGTATGGATGGCAACGTATCAAGTTTCACATTGATGTATCTTGTTCCGTTGCACTGGAGGCGATTTTCAAATAAAAATGTGTGGTCTGATGTGCTATTGAATGTACATAAATAATCATGACTTCTAAACTATTGAATTTTGCTGAACTAATGTTTATTTTCAATAGGTTGTTTTGTTACTATGTCCTCTATCTAAAAAAAATCTATAATATTATTATTATTAGATAGGAACAGGTACTTACGTGGGAAAGGCATTTGTCAGCTGATTGAAATGCAGGTAAATAATGAAAGTCTTACAAAACATTTCAATAAGGATAAAATGAAACACTAACATGATTTTTTTTAGATTTACATTTAAGAGATATACTGTTTCTCAACAATAACACCGAACCATGGGGTGAAGTAATACAAAAAATGGAAAGATACATTTAAAGTTCGAAAAGAAAGTGAACACAAGAGCGTTCATGAGTTTCTACAAGACTGGAAAATATTATCAGACCAAAGAAGTGACATATTGGTATGTAATCTGTTTTCATATGTTTTACGTTTTATTTCTGAGCTATCCATCTTGACGCAGACCAATCATTTTGACAACTATGATATTTGTTTTCAGATAAACATTGACTTCGACTTGTTGTATCCAGAAAAAGGGCTGAATTTTTATTTAAATTGGAAAATATTTTTCGAAAAAATTATTGCTTTTAAACCGAACAGAGACGAAAGGATCTTGAACCTTATTGAGTCACTGAAAAATTTAGATAATGATTGTAAGTGTCCGTTTTTAATTTTATAAAGCTTGAGATAGAATTAGTAAAATAAATAATAATAATAATAATAATAATAAGAAAATGTTTATTTCAGTAATGCAATTAACTTTACATTAACAGTGGATGGTACCTTCTATTAAGCTTGTCAAGCGTCAGTGTCAGGAGGTACCGCTCTTCCATAGCTATAAATTCACATTTAACATTTTTAACTTAGTCTGTCTGTCCGTCGGTCCGTCGGTCCGTCGGTCCGTCGGTCCGTCGGTCCGTCTGTCCGTCGGTCCGTC